GGATCAAGTCCCACATTGGGCTCCTTGATCAGCAGGAAGCCTGCTTCTCCCTCTGCCTACCACTCCCCCTACTTGTGCTTGCTCTCTCCCTCTCTATCTCTCTGACAAATAAATAAAATCTTTAAAAAAAAAAGACATCCAAATGGCCAACAGACACCTGAAAAAGTGCTCAACATCACTCAGCATCAGGGAAATACAAATCAAAACCTCAATGAGATACCACCTCACACAGGTCAGAATGGCTAAAATTATCAAGTCAGGAAACAACAGATGTTGGCGAGGATGCAGAGAAAGGGGAATCTTCGTACACTGTTGGTGGGAATGCAGCTGGTGCAGCCACTCTGGAAAACAGTATGGAGGTTCCTCAAAAAGTTGAAAATAGAGTTACCCTACAACCCAGCAATTGCAGTGCTGGGTATTTACCCCAAAGATACAAATGTAGTGATCTGAAGGGGCACCTGCACCCCAATGTTTATAGCAGCAATGTCCACAATAGCCAAACTATGGAAAGATCCCAGATGTCCATCAACAGATGAATGGATAAAGATATGGTATATATATACAATGGAATATTACTCAGCCATCAAAAAAATGAAATCTTGCCATTTGCAACGATATGGATGTAACTAAAGGGTATTACGCTGAGCGAAATAAGTCAATCAGAGAAAGACAAGTATCATATGATCTCACTGATGAGGAATTTGAGAAACAAGACAGAAGATCATAGGGGAAGGGAGGGAGAAATGAAACAAAACTAAACCAGAGAGGGAGACAAACAATAAGAGACTCAATCTCAGGAAACAAACTGAGGATTGCTGGAGTGGAGGGGGGTGGGAGGGATGGGGTGGCTGGATGATGGACACTGGGGAGGGTGTATGCTAAGGTGAGCACTGTGAATTGTGTAAGACTGATGAATCACAGACCTGTAGCCCTGAAACAAATAATACATTATATGTTAATAAAAAAAAGTTAAAAAAATAAATAAATAAATACAATTTTAAAAAAATCTGAAATGCTGAAATACACAAAATCCTTTATGGTAAGCCTCCTCTCATGTATGCCCATAATTCCTGCTTTACAGATAATAAAAGGCTTAAATGAGTGAAAAAATGTGCCCAGTACTTCATAGCCAGAAACGGGAGAAGTGGGATTTGAACAGAACCAGTCGAACTCTAAAGTCCACATGCTGAACCATTGTGCCTTCGGCCACTCCAGCTTAGTCCACGTAAGGAGCTGAAACTCACCTGAGGATTGCAGAGATTCTTACCACACGTGCGCTAGGCCCAAACCCTCATCCATCCATATCTACCAGCATTTACAACCATTGCTAAGTGGCAATCGAGGCATCCATCCACATTTTAGGAAATTCCAGCAGGGTCACAAAGTTTTTAAACTGTGCCATGGGTCATGCTGTCCTATCCAGATCCAGCTCATCCTTCAGAGCCCAGATCAAGCCCTACTTAGTGAGGAAAGCTTGCTCCCACCAGCCCAGCTTTCAATGATCCTCCTTTCTGATCAGTCCAACTACTCACCACCTGATGACAAAATGTCTTATTTTCTCGCCTCTCTTCTATATTCTTTTTTTTCCCCGAAACATGACCCTAAGCACCTTAGTAAATGGAGATTTTGTCTTCTAACTATTCTTCGCACCACTGATACTCAATATATACTTGACCTCCACACTTGATTTTTAGTATCTGAGTACATGTGTAGAATGAGTAATCTCTAAAGGACCACATACTATTTCTAATGCTTTGGCAAATATATGAAGGACTAATTAAAACTGGTTTAAAAGCACTTGCTTTGACAATCAATTTGTGTTCCTACGACAAATGCATTTATTTCTGCAACATTTATCAAAACAAGAGTGCCAACTGCTTCTCTCAATGTTTTCCTTAGTTAATTTCAATGCAGCCAAGATTTAAGAATCTACTAAGTATGAGCACTACAGTGACAGAGGACAAAGAAGCTTCATCTCGTGGGACAATTCTGATCCATGAGCAGAAGGTGCCTTTGGGACCTTCTGTTGACGAATCATCAGAGACATGGTTTGAGTAATGAGTAATGTCTGCCATTGATGAGGAAACACACGTAATCCATTTGCCATTTAAGGAAATGCACTGCCTTTCTAATAAAGTCACAACTTGATTCTCTTCATATTTAAACAGAGGAAAGAGAATCGTCCTATAAGGAAATGGAGTTGGACTGTGTCACCTTTACTCTTGGCCTACAAGACGCACCTTCTCCATGGGAACGGGAATCGTTGGCCTGGCTACCATCTTGCTTTGCCTGCCCCTGCAGTATTCCGCTGCTCTGCCCTCTAGCTGCTGTGTACCTTGTTTCTGCAGAGACACTGTCCCTACGACACAGTATCCAGCACTGTGGTAGATACTACACTTCTAAATTTCACTCCTCATCCTCTGTCCTCAGGCTCATGGCCCCCCTTAGTCCAAAACAGGACCTTGATTATTCACAGAGCTTATCTTTTCTGTTGAGATTGTTCCCACTTCCAGTGAACTTCAGTTTATATCCGCTAAGCAACCCTACATGCAGCTGCAACTCCAACAACGTACCAGGGCTTCCGTTCCGTTGTGCGGCGTCACAGTGAAAGCATTTGCAAAAAAGCGAAGCTGAGGAAAAGAAAAGAACCGTCATTTTGTGGCGGTGTAGAACAGAGTCACAAAAGCATTATTCATTTATATACTAAAAAAGATAATCTGCACTTCTCATCAGAGAACATTTTTTTAAGTACCGAAAACTAAAGAAGTCTAAAAAAGAAATATCACTTAATCTCCATCACTCTGAGCCAACCACTTTTAACATGGGGGCATAATTCCTTCTCATCTTTTTCTTATACCTGCCATCATGGAGGGACATTTTTTCCAGAGCTCTGGAAGAGAGAAACATTTCCTATAAGTAGCATTTTCTAATGGGGAAGGAACGCTGGTCCTGCAAGACGCTCAAAACACAAAACTAAAGAACAAGCAAAAACATGGTTCCGTGGCCATACACAACCATCCCCTTCTTGGGAACTTTTAATGCATATGACCACATTGAGAGCTTGGAGAAATCTAGTTGAATAGCACTTAACACAGGTTTCTCAAAATTATGTCATCCTAGAATTCCTGGGAGCTATGGTGTGTGATCAAAGACACAGCCGCTGACAGAGAAGGGGACATTCGGATGGTGAGGCAGGGGGATAGCAGGGTGTACAAAGCAGAGGTTACACAGTGAGGAACTTCAAAAACCTCAAATGAAATGAAACTCTGCCACCTTCTGGTTCGACTTCTTAAATCAGTTCCCAACCCTTAAACACACCTTTTTGGTCCTGGGTCGAAGAGCTGAAGTGTTCATCACTTACCAGCCATATGATGGGCAGCAGTACCGTCCACATACAGGGAGGGAGAATTCCACAGGTCATACTGGTCACCATTGTGCCTGGGCACACCACGCTGGAATACAGACCCTGGGAGCACAGGGAGGAGCCAAAGTAAGATTCAAATTCAGTGTTTACGGACGCAGCCCATCCACGTGCTTGTGAATAAAGGACATATGCAAATGAATCAGGAAGCCAGGGCATGAAGGATTTATGCTCTGAGCTGCCCCTGAAGCCTGGCAAACCATTTCAGTGAAAGAATCATGTCCGGAGGACACACGAGGAGAGGCGCTCAGGATGCAAAGATGAGTAAGACAAGGTCTCTGTTCTCCAGAAACTCACAGAACAAAGAATAACCCAACTTGGGGCTGGAAGAGAAAAGGAGGATCTGGTTACTGGAGTTTGCCAGGTATTGGCTTAATTGAAGATCGGTTTATTGATCATAATAAGCACTTCAGATAAAAAAGACATCTACAACACAGTCTCTGCCTTCAAGAAGTTTCTGGTCTAGTAGAGAACAGACAGCTAAACCTAAAGTTTGTGTCTATTCCCCTGCAGGTACATAAGCCGCACACTTGTAGCTTGAGGAGGGAGCTCCTGTCATGAGAGGTGAATGAAGGGCTGCATGTGGTTCCACAAAGCACCTCCCCCAACTAAAGAGTTCTACATCAGGTCCTTAGCCTGGGACCTGTCATTGTAGAAAGATCTGCCCTCGAAACAGAGCCCAATTAACACACAGCGTGTGCTACCAGGGAGGGCCCTGTGTGGGCTTTACGAATCCTTGGAGCACTGGGATTGGTTTTACTAGCTGACTTAATTCAATTTTTACTACATTTTACCTTATGTAGCTATTGACCATTTTAACTCTTATTTTTATTACTTTTAATTTTATTTTTTCTTTCAAATGAAAATAGGAAGTACCAGTATGACACAAACAGTTCAGTGGGCAGAAAGCACCCCGAGCAAGAGAAGCTGGAGCATTTTCTTCCTTTATTCGGGGCTGCAGAGGCTCCGTGGTACCTGACAGATTATCCAATCCCTGGAGGTCCCCTTGATTTACCAAAGGTCCTCTGAAAAGAAGTAAGAGCCTGGACTCAGCAGAGACCAAAACTTCTCCCCAAGAGAGTAACAGATTTTCCCCCAGCGATAGCTAAGGAAGATTTCTTATTCTGGGAGCTAGCTAGGAACAGTTAGGGACTCTTCAGTCCTAAGTAAAGACATCTGTGAACTGAAATCCTGGGTCTCTGACACCTGTAATGTTCTGATGTTGAGCGACAAAAGAAACAAACAAGGAGGCAGCCTCATCCGAGAACCCAGTCCCCCTACATGTCGCAAGGATCAGCTGTGACAACCTGAGTGTTGTTATGAGACGTGGGTGAGGGGTGATGACTAAACTCTAGCAGGTGGCCCCATGGACCAACAGAATTCCCAGTGATACAAGCCTTCAAGAGGATGTCGTTCCCCCTTCCTAAAAGCCAAGGAGGAAAAGCCGTGGGCTGAAAACCAATCATACAGGTTTTAGGAGACAGCAGTATTAGCTAAATCTCTCTTTCTTATAAAAGATGAAATCCCAAAGCTTCCTTGACAATTAAAACTTAAGTGAAATCCCAGAACATTTTATGAAAAGAGAAGCTAATCCACTCTGACCTTGTCCCCAAAAGGAAGCTTCCGGAGCACAAGCAGTCGTGACAACTTTTGAAACACCTCAAGAAACCTCAGAAGGAGGCTAACCACTGGACCAACACACTGAACTCAAATAATAACAATAGTAGTAATAATAATCGTAATGATGATGATAGCCAACATAAACACACACACACACATGCACACACGTGTAGACCACACGCCTCCCATACACACAAGATGCCCATACACGTGCACATACCACATGTACAATCACAGCACACACATATACACACACCCACAAACCCAACGTGTGCACACGGATAGTCGCTCCCCCCACCCAATGACACCCACGTGTGCACACATGTGCAGACACACACATGCTGAGACTACTAGCTACTGTGAGTGCTTCACACCATCCCTCTCATTCAACCCTCCCAACAAATCTGTGAAGCAGGCACTATTTTTATCCCTATTTTTCAGATGAGGAAACTGAGGCATTGGGAGATGAAATAATCTTCCAAGGATTCAAATCCAGTTCTAGGAGATGCTCTTAGCTTCTACGCTTAGACCATCCTCTTTCCTAAGAGGGTTCCAGGAGAGAGAGTTCTATCTGATAGACAGGATAAACCCATTCGAGACCATCATAGGAGGCTCTGACTGTGTCTGATGCATCACCAGAGAAGGTCCTGCAAGGGCAGAAAGTTTCTTGGTCACCTTTTTCTTTCTGCTTTCTCCTCAGCCCTAGGCCTGGCCCAGTGCCCTAAACATGGCAGGTCTTCTGTAAATATTAGTGGAATTAAATTTCTCCCCAGCCCCACACTCAAACAGCAGAGTCAAAGCAAACAAAGGAAAATGCCATGGGAAAGACTGGAGATTTTCAGGAAGGTTTTAGACCTGAGCAGGAGAGACATCCAGAGAGCAGTAAGCTCCAGACCAGAGGCCACAATGAGCCTGGCAAGGCTACTTTCTGCAAAGAAACATCCCCAAAACCCAGAGTCCTCAGAAAGACAGAGCTCTGGACTCTCACCAAAGACCACCACTATCCAGAAGGCTTTGTAACTACTGAAGGTCCTATAGTATCTGATATGACAAACACTGGGACACAGCGTGGTTTAGTGGGAAAATTCCAACCTACAGTCAAATAGCCCCAGGCTCAACTCTGAGCTCAACCATTAACTAGTTGTATGACTCTGGGTAAATCACCTAACCTCTCCAAACTGTGGTGTCCTCACATGCAAATGGGAATATTCAGACCTACACTCACTGTGACAGGAAAGGCACTGAATGCCATACACAGGTAAGGAGTACAGCACCTCAAGTACGTGCTTTGTTAAGCTGAGCCAGGCCTCACCCGTGGGTTGAAGTTCCGGTTCAGCGCCACGCTCAGTAGGTCAATTGCGTATTTGGAGGAGCTGTAGGGCTCCTGGCCTCTGCTGTGCTGGATGTCCTCAAGGTGGAAATTAGATTTCCTTGCATTGCGAGATGATGTCCAGATAAGCCGGGAAGGACTGTCGCTGTGACAGAGGAGAGCTTCCAGTTCCTGAATCTGATAAAAAAGGAACAACAAAATGGATCAACATCTACTGGAGTAGAGGATAACAGCTGTGAAGCCACTGTAAACGTGTCCTGGAGCTGAACAGGAATGTCACTGCTGAAGGGGCTACTCCAGACACGCGAGAGAGGAGGCTGGAATGACCCATGCAGGTTAGGGTTAGGGACATCGGTATGAACAGATGTTTAGCTTCATAAAAATAGAGATGGTTACATATAAAAATACTTATAGGGGTTACCATGCACGTATATCTCCCTGCTCTGTTAGCCTAGAAGCTACTGATCCATCAGTAGTAACAAGCACCAGATCTTGGTTTCTAATACCATTGTCTATAAGAGGAACCAGATCTTGGGATGCCCGGGTGGCTCAGTCAGTTAAGCATCTGACTCTTGATTTTGGCTCAGGTCATGATCTCAGGGTCCTGGGATAGAGCCCCACGTGAGGTTCCACGCCCAGCAGAGAGTCTGCTTGAGGATTTTCTCCCTCTGTTCCTCTCCCTGCTCAAGCTCTCTTTCTCTATCTCTCTCTAAAAGAAGTTAATAAATCTTAAAAAAAAAAAAAAAAAGTGGAACCAGATCTCCTTAGGGAAATGGCTGATTCTAAGACTGGGGCAGGAAATATATCCGATGAGCCTGAACCATCTTGTAGTGCCAGAAAGAACATGCTCAAAACAGAAAACCACACTGATGAGGCTATATCAGAGATATGCAGGATCCAACATGAAGAGCACCCAATGGCCCAAACTGGAATAATTTGAGCAAGAAAATAAAGTAGTGTTTCCAACTCAAAGTAGAAAATAAATATCCACAAGCCCACAGGAATACAAGTTATTTTCGCAGCTTTATTGAAGTATACTTGACCAAGAAATGACTGAGTAAAGCATTAGATAGAGAACAGACAAACCTCTCTTGCAGAAAAGTTCCAAATAATTTATGTAGCTAATCGACCCTCTGGGGCATCAAACACAACCCCTTAAGTGTGAGCTACACATAGTAAGTCTCTTCCAAAGAGAACAATATGGAAAGGGAGAGAAAAACAAAAAGAGAGACTTCATGATGAAAAACCTGACAAACACGAGCTGGGAGATCAGAGAGAACGTCAATGCTGACAAGTCACAGTGACATTTCATGTGATGTGATGTGACGAGAATGGTCTTCACTTCACCTCTGTGGTCCTCCTCCCGCAAACGTGTTACTCAAGTCTAACCATGAGAAACATTTCAGACAAATCCCAACTGAGGACAAATACCTCAGCTAGAATCCTCAAAACTGTCAAGATCATGAAAAACAAGGGAAATCTGAGAAACTGTCACAGCCAAGGGGAGCCTGAGGAGACAGCTAAATGTACTGTGGTGTCCAAGAAGGGGTCCTAGAACTGATGAGGGAACATTAGGCAGAATGGAAGAAAGCTGAATAAGTTTGGACTTCCATTAATAAGGTATCAGTATTGGTTCTCCTACTGCAACAAATAGTAGTAGTAGAGAAAACTGGGGCGGAGGGGGATACAGGAACTCTCTGTACTAGTTTTGCAGTAATTCTGTAAGTCTAAAACTATTCTAAAACAAAAATTGTGTTAAAGAAAAACCTAGGAAAGCTTCCAGATGCGCTCCACGTTTGCAATGAACAAGTAAGTCAAATGCAATCAAGATAACTCATACACATGAGATTAAATCAGTTAACTGGTTCCTGGACTGTAATACTATGCTGTGCTTGGAACTTCACGGAAATTACCTCTACTCTTCATAACAACGATAAAAGTTTGGTCATGTTACAGATAATCAAACTGGGGATGGATGATCCATTTATACAATGCATTTACACCTGAACCTAGAATCCAAGTTTGTGTTCTAGAAGAAGTGGTAAGATTCTTAAACCTAATCTGAAAGGAGTGGGAAGCATTCTAAGCCTTCTGACGACTTTATTAGATAAATCCATTCCAAAACCCCTCCTGATATGCCTCCCTATATAAGGATACACAAGGATAGGTCATGTCATCAGGACACCTATGATCATCATGCCCACAGCCATGACTCTCCTCTGCCATTCCCCCAACCCAGATGACCCAAATACCTGATCTTCTGAACAACTTAATTTTTATTTTATTTTTATTTTTTTTAAGATTTTATTTATTT